CTTCTTCTTCTTCTTCTTCTTCTTCTTCTTCTTCTTCTTCTTCTTCTTCTTCTTCTTTAAGATTTATTTATTTATTTTATGTGTGAGTACACTGTTGCTCTCTTCAGACACACCACAAGAGGGCATCGGATCCCATTACAGATGGTTGTGGGCCACCATGTAGTTGCTGGGATTTGAAATCAAGGCCTCTGGAAGAGCAGTCAGTGCTCTTAACTGCTGAGCCATCTTTCCAGCCCTCTTTAGCTCTTCTTTATAGGAATGAAGTCTATTGCTTTTTTTATTCTAACTCTTGTCTTTCATATGGTGGTACATAAGCAGATATTAATCTACCATATTATCCAGAAGTGATCAATGCTAATTGTGATCTTTTAGTTATTTCCCTTAAAATAAGGCCCTATAAGCTCCATTTGTCATTGAAATGTAATGGAGTATATGTAACTATTAACTAGTCCTCTAGGTTTGGATGACTTGGCCTAAGTAAATAATCTCAAATAAGGAATATATGTTGAAAGTGCTGGTAGTTGTACATATCCAAAGTCTAATAATCTACTTAACAAATTATATGAACTTTAGCGTAGTAAAATGACAATCATCTGGCTACATGGAGAAAGCAGGCTGAAACTGTTAAATGAATATAAACAAACCTGCAATGTTATACACTTACTTGGAATCCAATAGTTACTTAAGAGAAGAGGCCACCAGTAGAAACTTTTTGGTGAAGCATCCTGAATAGTTAGAGCCTTCATACAAAAGGTGTCAGGTGCAGGAACTGAGTATCAGTTAGTGAACTGGCACCATTTGGGGCTGGCTTCCGACTTATGGAGGATTGGGGGCAGAACTGCAAATCTGGTCATTGACTATGGGTCTGAGAGCTTGCATTCACAGGCACTTGGCAGAAGTTAAGTTTAACCGGGTTCTGTTGTAGATCTGAGCATCTCTAAGGTATGCACTCTGAAAAAGGGTCTGAGCCAGGAGCAGTGTGGGCTTCTGAAAACACAGTTTTCCTTAGGGTAGCCAGGTAGTGAGGTCTGACAACTGTATATATCAAGTCCAGGTCTGCACAGCTGCAGTGCTTAAGACCTAGGCCCTACAGCCATGCCTGCAACTACAATTCCCCAGGGGTCAGAACTGGTCCACATTCCATTATATTGATAAATTTGCCCATTTAATTAAAAAAAAAATGCAGAGCAGTAACAATGGGGTGGAAACATCCAAGTAAGACCATAGTAACCTTGAGGTTAAGGAGGGAGTGGAGCCAACACCTACCTCCTCCATCCCTGGGCCACTGTGTTTCCTCCAGGTATCATCAGACTATATATGAGGACCATGTCTCCCTGGACTCATCTCTACCCAATGAGCTACCCTGCCAGTGTAGGCGAAGGCGTGTCTTGATTGTGTGACATTCCCTTCCTGAAGGAGAACCACATAAGTTCCTGGTAAAGATACATTTGGCACACAGTGCCACTTAACAAAGACACTGTCTCTATAATTGTGCAGCCCGAGAACACACAACACTGTAAGGAATTGTCCCAACCTCTTCCTGATACCAAAGTTCTAGGTTTATAAGCCAGTGGCAGCTTAGACTTGAATTCTGGAATATGTGACCATATTTGTTTGGTGTACTGCCACTTTGAAGGACTCTCTTACCATGTTGTACACTGAACTTTGAATTGCAAAGAAATGTTTGGTCTGTTCTTAGAGATCAGGTTAGTTCACAGCATCTACCTCTGGTATTTGGAAAATGAATTTAAAGGCCAGTGTAGGAGCCACTACCATGCAGTGGATGCCATGCCAAAGGGCCTAGAGACAGAGTCTTCTGTGAAAAACCTGCAACTTATCTGTAAGTTCCAGCCAACTTCCTCTTTCCTTCTATACCAAGACTGATTCTCCTGGTAATGATCATAGCAATCTTAGGATAATCTTTGTTAACCAAATACTACTTAGAAAACTTTGCAATGAATTTACTAGTTTACATAGCCTGAAAGAACAGGTAACAATGCTGTGATTATAGTGAACACTTATTGAACACTACATGTCAGAGGAAGTGCTTCGTATTGATTACTTAATTCATACAATAATCCCCAAAGAACTGTATTACTATTATCCCATGTACAGAGAAAAAAACTGAGGCATAGAGAAAAAGCTTGCCATTCAGAAAAGCTTTCACTGTCAGAAGAGGAACATGGTCCCTAATTAAAGATAAGTTTTGCCATATGCCAGTCAACAAGATGCACACAGGAACACCAGCACACAGGAGCACCAGTACACAGGAGCACCAGCACACAGGA